CAGGCATACGTCAAAACCATGCAAAAAAAACCCTCAACGAAAGGAAAATTTGTTCCCATTTTTCGGAAAAAGCCCATCGGCTGATAGGCAGCCGCTTGACAACCAGCCCACACCYCATTTCTCGCCGTCCCCGGCGAGCATTTCCCGACGCATTTCTCCCCCCCCWTATTTTTGTTTATCCCGTTTTCCCTGGTTCCCCTGGTTGCCCCCTCCCTTCTCCTGTTTACACGAACCCTCGATGCCCGTTTGTCCTAACTATACCGATTTTCCTTATCTATGATTCTGTGGTACAAAATCCCTCTCGGGGTCGCTACATACCGCCCTTTTCTGACGCACGTTTCCCCAACTATGGTACATCCTTTCCTGAGGTCCAGGGACACACGTCCCTTTCTAACTATGGTACACTCCCCTTCTTAGGACTAAGACTCACGGCGCATCCTCTTATGACCGTCTCCGTCTCCTCTTCCTCTTCTCGCGCCTCTCTCTCCTCTGTTTCCTCTCTTCCCTTTCCCGCTTGACTTTCAAGGCTTTCTTCGAGGCGCTCCTCTTCTCTCTTAGCCTGCGTTTCCCCTACCGGTCGGTGTCACCTTTATCTTTTCTAGGTCTTTTCTTCTTCCTAGGGGTCTTTGGTAGGGAAGGCTTCCGAACCTTATACCCCTTCCTTGGTGGGCGAAACGAGGCCCCTCGCCTGGAGGTCTCACCTTTTTCATCAGTGGTGGTCAACTTTGTGTCAAGCACTTCTTTCCCTTTTTGTTTTGACTCCTCCCCTTTTGTCCCTCTTGATCGGAAGATTTTGAGACGAGCCCCTGCGATAGGGTCCCGCAGCCTACTCCCATCTAATTCTGCGAGCATATAAGCCCCCCTGTCCAATCTCTTTAAGACCTTATACGGCCCCATCCATCAATTCGCCAATTTTCGGCTGCAGGTCTTTTCCAGTGACGAATCGTATATCAGTACTAGGTCGTCAACCCCTATCGGCGCCTTTCGGACCCGCAGATTTTTGTCCCACCTATCTTTCCCTTTCACCCTTTCCCTCTCGATGTTCTCACGGACCGTGGCTACCCCGGCATTCAAGTTCTCGGCTATTTGCCGTATCCGTGCTTCCAATAGCTCACCCCTAGACATGTTGGTTTTCCATGAGACACTTGTCTAAGTGTCAATGTGGAACTCAATGGGTAGGGGACAAGGCCTGCCAAACCAAAGAGTGTAAGGAGGGTATCCAGTACTCGATTTGACCGTGATGTTGTCGGCCCAAACTGCGTACCGTAAATACTTAGGCCATTGTTCCGTGCGTCCCTTGCACCACTTGGCCAGGGGGTCCACAAGTGTTTTGTGGCCCCTTTCTACCGGCGCATTGTTTTGGGGGTGATAAGCCGTTGTATAGGCCGCCCCGATCCCTGCCTTTTCCAATAACATCTTAACCTTTTGGCTTAAGAATTCCGCCCCCCTATCCATGACTACTCTCTCGACACACCCATACCGCGCGATGTACTCAAGGAGAAAATCGCTTACCTCCTCCGCCGTTTTCTTCTTGATGGCTTTCGCTTCTACGAATCCGGTGAGGTCATCCCTGGCGTTGATTATATAGCGAAGCCCGCCAAACCCTTTCGGCATGGTTACTAAGTCTGTATGGACCTTCTCGCCCGGAACCGAGGGGAGTGAAGGAACCAAGGACTCCTTATATCAAACCGTCGCCCTCTTCTGGCAAGCCTCACATGTGGAACAGTACTTTTCCACCTCCTTCTATTGCTCGTCCCACCAGTAGAGCCTGCGGACCTTATCTAAAGTGCCCTTCACCCCCCTATGACCCCCAACGACCCCATCGTGTAACTCTTCTATAACAACCTTTTTCTCTTCCGGATCACACAGCACCCTCATGGATATCGCGAACTTGGTGGGTCTTTTGAAGAGGTGGCCTCCCCGCAGGCAATATCCCAGTGCCTCTTGCTGGACCCTTTCAGTCCCTGTTCCCCTACCGGCCAAGTAAAGCCCTATGTCTCGGTACTTCCCGTCGTAGAGATTCGCGAAAAAAGTCCTCAGGCCTCCTTCTTCGTGGCTGTTCCCTGCTACTAGCGTCCTATTCGCAGCGACTTTCATTATCGTCTCTTCGGCCATTGTCTCTTCTTCCTCCTTAAGCCTAGGCAAGTCCTCCTCTCGAATGGGAAACCGGGACAACCCATCGGCGACCTGGTTCTTGGTCCCCGATATCCTTTCGACCCTATAGTCATAAAGCCTGATATGGATCATCCAGCGTGCGATGGTCGGATCTGTCAATGAGAAATCCTTTTGGAGGACCGCGGCCACGACCGTCAGGTCCACCCTTAGGAGAAATCGCCGACCGTACAGGTAGTGACGGAAGGCTTTTAGGCAATGCAATACCCCTAACACTTCCTTCTTGAATTGACTATAATTTCTTTCTGCGGGGTTCAAGGTTCAGCTCTCAAATCGCAACGGTCTCTCTCTCCCCTCCCCATCCTTTTGCGACAGGAGACCCCCTACTGAGTGAGGTCCAGCGTCCGTAGATACTTTAAACAGACGACTCTCTTCGTCTTCAAAAAACGGGACTCCAAGGACTTTTCCACCTTCGTGGAACTCCCCCTTCAAGGCTTCCATGATCGCTGTTTGTTTTTCTCCCCAAACCCATCCTTTTGATTTCCTGAGGAGTCTTCTAAGGGGTTTCGCCTTCTCTCCATAGGCTTTTATGAAGATTTGCCAGTAGCCCACGACCCCTAGAAACTGTCGGACCTCCATTATGGATTTGAGTGGCGATGTCCAAGTCATCAACTTTACCAGTTTCTCGGGATCGGGCCTCCGCCCCTCCTTATCGCAAATGAACCCTAATATCTTGATGGAGGACACGCCCGAACGACTCTTAGTCCCGCTTACCGTAAGGTTGGCGTCGTCTAGTTTCTCAAGGACGTCCCTCACATCTTTCATATGGTCGGCCACAAACTTTCTAACCCCTGGGAAAACCTCAGTCTCGTCCCGCTCGACCGACCCTTTTATAGGGAAATCATCCAGGAAGACCTCCACCTTCTCTGGTATGAACTCCTTGAGGACCGCGATCATGGCCCTTTGGAATACGGCTACCCCATTCGTCCAACCCATCGGTACCACCATCATTTGAACCAGCCCTAAGGGTGCATGCATGTCGGTCATGTGCCTGTCCCTGTAATCTAAGGGGATCTCGTCATATCTCGAGAAGAGGTCGCAGATCGAGTAAATTGAGCGACCCGCCGATCCTTCCGCTAGTAAGTCGGCCTCAGGTATAGACCCCACGTCTCTTACGGTGACTGCATTGGTCCTCTGGAGGTTCTGGATCCATCTTAGTTTGTTGCTGTCTCCCTTCCATAGAAAGAACCACTTATTGGAGTAGGCACTCTCGCAAGGTTCCGCAACGAATGTCCTGATTTTTTCCTTGATGAAGGCCACTATCTCTTCTTTCTCCTTTTGAGCGTACTTCCATTGAGGCCTATCCTTCCAGGGCACGTGCGGAACCGTATGGATCTGTGCCGGCTTAGCATACCTCGGGTCGATTCTCCCCCTCTCCGAGTCATCAAAGGCAATGGCCTTATCGCAGCCCCTTAAGGTCATTGCTATGAATTCTTTTTCTTCCTCCGTGAGATTCCCATCTCCTATATCCATTTTGGCCAGCCTATCGGCCGTTATCCTTTGCCCCTCCGTGTCTTTCCTCTTCCTGATGATATCAGCTATCTCTTCTTCCGATATCATAGCTTCCCCCGTTCTATCCCGGCTGACCGTGGCGGACTTTACTTTCTCCGCCACGGTTTTGTGCTTCTTAACTCCGCCGGCTAGGGGGATCCCTCCAAAAAAGACAAACTGACGCACCCACCGAACTCCTCCTCCTCGTCCTCCTTCTCGTACCCCATACCATTAATTACAATCTTATCCCCCACGTCCTCGATCTCTAATTGGTCCCTCTTGGGTCCCCTATCCGTCAAGGGTACTTCCTCTAGACGGACTCGGCACACCCTCGACTGGGCTCCCTTGCGCCTAGTAAGGCTGGTCCGGTTACGTTCATCTTGTGCGTCTACTGTCCTTAGGACCACTCGGATTCCATCAGGACTTTGGATCGAGAGGGTTTGACTGCCATCCGGCAAATCGACCGTGGTCGCGTGTACCGCGCTCAAGCAGGTCCTCCCGAGGATCAATTCGGAGGAGCACTCTTTCACCGAAAAGATCGGAACTGTGGCCTCTACCCCAGCTACCTCAATCACGGGGTTATGACATACCCCTTCCGCCGGTTGGAGCTTGTTGTCGGCTACCACCATCGACATTGACACCCCTCGATCTATCTCCAAGCCTAGTTCTCTTGCGATGGACTCCCTACAAACCGTAGATTCGGACCCGTTATCCACAAGAACCCTCATCTTTTTCCCACTTACTATCGCCTGGAGCTGACCGGTACCTAGCACATAGAATTTTTTGGCCTCTTCCCCCGAGAAGAAATTGGCCGGTAGCTCCTCCTGGGTAATGCGGGAAGCCTGAACCTCTTCTTTGGCCGGACCCTCCACCGGCACCATGGGTCCCCCAACGATCGGGACTCTAACCTTTCTAGTGATGCTTAGAAGTTCCTCCCTGACGCTTTTGCTTGCGGCTAGATATTCCAGAAGTGTGCACTGCATAGATTGCATCAGGGTTCTCCTAAGGGGTGCCACTGTGTCTATCTCATCCAGGGTGCACTTCATTTCGAACTTTTTGGGGCCCCTTTTCTTAGGTGATTTTGGCGATGTGGGTTCCTCCTTCTTTTCCTCCACCGCTTTTGCATCGGTCATCGGCTGGTCATTGTTGCCCCTTTTCACTTCCGTACTTTCCGCCACGCTTGCTTGGTTCTCGGATGTCTCGGCTCCGACCTGCGTCCTCACCCTTAGGCAGGGCCTCTCTTCTTCGGGCTGGGTATCTACGAACTTGATATTCGACACTTGGGGTTCCCTAATGGACAATCCCCCTGGTGGCTCCACCATTTGGATGTGAGCAGTGTTGGAGGAGCTTCCGGCTTCCGGTTTCTTTCCTAGTCTAGCCTCTTGAAGAGCCACCCTCTTATCCACGTTCACCCTCATTGATGGGTAAAAGGAGACCGCCTCGCCGCTATCCCTCCACACAACCCACTTGTTTTCATTCAGCTTGACCACTCTCAATCTCAAGGCCTCCGTGAGATAAGGGCAGTTCCTTTTGATGTGGTTTTCTTCGTTGCAGTAGACACACCCGGCCCGAGCTTGGGGATTGTTGGGGCGCGGACCCCCTTGTGCTGTCGTCGCTATGGGCGCACGCGGAGCCGGTGGTGGTGGTGCCGGGGGTGGTGGCGCCCTAACCTCCGGTCGCGGCCCGGAAGCCCTTGCTTGAGGGGTGTTTCCCCACCTTCCATCCCTAGCATCCTTCCAATGGGAACTCCCCCAATCGGAACCTCGACTCCCCCCTATCTCCCGGTCGTTCCTCCAGCCTCCTTGGCCACTCGGCTCGTTCCTCCATCCGGTAGGCCGTTCTCCCCACCGGGGAGCCGGGGGGCTAGGGGGCGGACCATCGTTCCGTGTCCCTCGCATGTTACGGAGGGCCATATCCAAGGTCTCCTTCATGTATTCCCTTACGTCTACCCCTTCCCCTGTGAAAACAACCTCGGCGACTTTCTCGAAATTCGCCGAATCCCTCGGGGCCTTCTCAAGGACCTCCTTCCTCTTTTCCTCGGGCAGGTGCAGCATGAACATCACGTACCTATCTACTTCAGACAGCATGCCCCTATCTACTAGGGTTTGGGATAGGCGTTTGAACCTTCGAGTGAAGGCTACCAAGCTTTCCCGCTCCCCCCTTGTAATCCATCGCAAGCCCTCCACGGTCGGGATTAGGTCATCACAGGCGAAAGTCTGCAACAGGCTCGCCCGGAAGGTCCTCCACCGCCCGTCTGAAGGGTAGATAGCTCGGATCGCGGTGTCTAACTCTGGGTCCGAGTGCTGGATGAAATAGTCAATCCACTCTCTCTCGGAGAATCTTTTGCGATATGCGTAACTCTCTCATTTCTCTACGAACCCAGTCACATCTCTTCCGTCGAAGAAAAGTGCCTCTAGACCCAGGTTGACGTCATAGTAAGGGACTCGTCGGTCGTCGTATCGACGAAAATAGTGACCCTCCATTGGCCCATCGATTGCCGGGTCGTATGGCTTGTACCACGAGGGATCCGGTTCCTCTACCCGGCCTCGAGGTCTTGGAGGCTCCCAGGGGTTCTCCCCGTAGCGGCCCCGCTCTTCCGGCCAATCCGTCTCCCATCAAGTGTGGCCCTGCCCTCTTAAGCTTCTCCAGGCCTCCACCCCCTGACTCCTGCCTGTTACCTCGTCGGGGCCCCATGTAGCATCGGCCCATCTACGTGGCCTGCTACCAGCCTCCGCCGGTCTTTCATCTCTAAGGCCCCTTCTACTTGGTCCCCCTTCCTCTTCTCTCCCGGGTGGTCGGTACCCCCTCCCATCTCTTGGAAATCCTAGGGTTTCTCCCATTCTTGCGTCCGGTAAATCCCCCCACCGAGACTCTATAGGAAGGTCCCTCGAGCCCTCGATTGCCCCCTCTCTTACCGACATTCTTATTTCCACACCCGATCTTGGACCTACCAAGCCCTGCCTTTCACTGGTGACGGCCTCCGGGACCCTTTCGACCCATCTTCTCCCCTCTCTCAAGTCCCTCCTGTCTTGACACTCCTCTTCTTCTCCCCTAAGTGGTCGATACCATTGCCTATCCCTAGGGAATTCCCGTGTTCCCTCTAACCTGGCTTCCGCATCCATTAGGTCTGCCCACTGGGACTCCACCGGAACGCCTCTCGCGGCTTTGGCTACCCCTTCGTTTACCGTCACCCGCGGCCCCACATCCCTGTGCACTCGCACCTCTGCGCCAGGCCTTTGCCCCTCCGCGGCTTGTCTCTCTCCGGGAGCCATTTCTGGGACCCCTTCGGTCCTATCAAGTGCCTCCTTCCCCTCACTCATTTCTTCCACTACCTTGCTTAGACTGGCCCCCAATTCGGGACTCTTCACTATCCCCCTTCATTTAGTGGTTTCCGGCGGACCTGGGAGACCAGGCCCCACTTCACTCTCCATGCACCCTTATTTGCTATTTCTAGCCGCCTCTCTCACTATCGTCCGTGTAACTACCCGGACCGTCCCCCTCACTACTGTCTCCGTTACTTTCTGAATTCTTTTCCTCCACCGATCCCTCCTCCTCACTCGACTCCTCGTTCGCACCTTCTCCCTCCGACTCCTCATTGGTTACCGTCCACCAAGAATCCCTCAGTTTCTTCTCCTCACTGGCGGCCAATGCAAGATTAGCGATCTCTAGGTCCGAGATGCCCCTAACCCCCTCTTGCGCACATCTCCCAATCAAATCCCTGTCCACATCATCAGGCTGCCCGGAGAATAGAGGCTTGATGAACTCCCCCACGCGGGCCCACCACTTGAAGTCGGTGTCTTCTCTCGACTCCTAGCACTGGGTGAATAGCTCGTGGCCTCCGTCCTCGCTCAACGGGAATTTTTCTATCACTTGACTCCTCAATCGAACTTTCCTCGCGGTCTCGTCGTCCTTATAGAGTAGTCGATAGGCCCAGGTAGGGATACGCCAAGTTCTTCCGTGGGCTGCCCTCGGAACCTCTGCCCTCCCTCGGTAAACTACCTTATCAATTACGGGTCCCCCGGTACCATCCCTTCTCAACCTCTGCACTCGTTCTAGGGTTTTTTTGGCGATGCCTAGAGGGTCTTTCCCTTCCGCTAATTCAGTTGCGAAGACTAGCTGGGCGTCAGGGGACAAAAAGATTTTTGCTTTTCTAATGCAGCCGTTCTCATCGGAGGCCACTGAGAACCTGACCACCGTCTCCTGCTCGTAAATCTCAAAGAACTCGGTAGTTACATCGCCTTTTCCTCTAATCCTAGGAAGAGTCACTCCATATTTCCCTGCCCACGTAAAAACCCTCTCTATGGTGCCGTAAGGGTCCCCCCTTTCGTATCTAATCATAGGGGTTCTCACCTCACGCCTGTTAACTGTTCGGCGGCTTCGACCAAAGAGTCTTTGCACCTAGCTTGACCTGCCTCCCTGTTCCTTCTCAGGGTCTGGCGCAAAGCCTCCTCGTATTCCCCCGTTCTATCCCAAAACCGGATCTCCACGAGGTGTGTTCTCGACGTCAGCGGAGTACCTAGGCACGTAGAGTCCTCTTCAAGTTTTCGTTCTACTTCTAGCAAGGGCTCCCTCCAAGTCCTCGAGAATCGCTCGCCGCTTGCGTCTCTAATGCGGATTGAAAAGGCCGCTAGCACGGTCCAACTTCTCCTTTTCCACAAGGCCAATCATCGGACTTGCACTAGAAATTCCGTTTCGGCACGGACCACCCGGTCCCCTCCCAAATTCGGGTTAAGCTCGACACTCCCCTCGATCCTAACCTCGCTTCCGTCCTCGTAGGTCTCTAACTCCCAGCGAATCCTGTTTGAGACGAAAGAGGCTCTCATCCCCTTACCCCAAGAGAAGGTCTATCGTGACCTCGTCGAGGATTACGATCGTGGCTGTCTCTAGTAGCTTGATCCTTGCCAAGGACCCTGGCCTAACCCTCCTTTCTTCTTCCCAGCACAGAGCAAGGATCCGCTGAACTTCGTCCCTCACTCTATCCAACCCCACGAGCTCCTCAAGGTTCGGCTCGGTCATCCCCTAACTTCCGTCGACGACAGGCTATAGCTACCCGAATCAAGTCAGAGGGGTCTAACCCCGCTAGTTCTCCCTCACAGATCTTGCCTAAATATCTCCACGATATCTTAGATTCTCTCGCGTGTCGACCCCACCCTTCAAAAGCGTAACCCAGGTCCTTTAGAGTCGACCAATCGTCTCTATAAGGATCCCGGAAACACCAAGTTAACAAGGTGTGAAGATCTGATCCCGTGAACCTGAACCATCTTAGGATGGAAACCCTTCTTCCCACCGTCTTCTTAACAGCCTCGGAGGGGTAAACCCGCTCAAAAATGAAATGGGGGACCTCCACGGGCTCGCTGGAGAGAAACCGCGGTATCTCTTCCCAACCCCCGTAGGTCACTAGATATTCCTCTTCGCACCCTTCGTGAGGCCCCAACCCCTCTACTAACTCCCCTAGCTGGCCCCTTACGGCTCGAGCATCCCAGAGAGGGTCCTGCCCAGTCCGTAGGCTACGCGCTATCTCAACAAAGCCTTCCTTCGAAAGGAATATCCTGGCTTCTCCAACCACGACCTGTCCCTGGCGACTCACCACGAAGCGTACGAACGCCTTTCCTCGTCGGGTCCCTCCTCTCATAGGAGAGTCCTAGCTGGCTCGGCCATCCGGGCCCTAGGCAGAGTGATTCTAATAACCTCCCCGGTATCCTCTACGGGCTCTATGGATGCCCAGAGAGTCCTCAGAATCCTCCTTATCATCAGCCCTCAAAACCCTTTCGGTTAGCCACCTTCTCCTCTCTGAAGAAGCGAGCGTACGGAACGTCCGCGACGAGGGATTGATGTCCCTCAAACTCCCTCAATCTTCCAAATATGGTGAATAGCTCACTCCTTGGGGGAATTCCCGCGTCCACGCACCGAGTATAAAACCAAAACAAACCCCTAGCCCGCACCCCGGATTGCCGAACCGCCCTAAGCACCGCTACTACTCTCTCTTCCGGGTCCCTTAGGAACGAACTGGCCACGAACTGGGGCAAGTTAGCGTGAAGGAACCCGGAAGCGCGAGGGACCTCTCCGGGCTCGGCGAAGGAAACTTGGGACCACGACTCAAAAGTCCCCTCCTCGTAGTCTGTTAACACCAGGTTGTTCGCCAACAGCCTGGCGGACTCTCGGTACTCAAAGTGCGTAAGCTGCCCGGTAACTAACCCTCTCCAAACTTCGGTCCACCTCTCCTCGTCGAAAAAAATGGTTGCTCGGATCTCTAGGAAATGACCGATGTAGGGTGGACCTCCTCTTTCCACACCCTCCTTCCAAGTGAGCCTTCGCACTTGAACCCACACGTAGGCCCCTTCTCTGATTAATCCCCCCTTCTCAACGCTCATCCAATAAGGCGTCACTTGAGGATCTCCTGGAATTAAAACCTTCCTGGCGTCACTAGTCTCTATTAATTCTACCACCCCGTCTTCATTGAGCATGAACTTCACCATCTGCTATCGTTGTCCTAAAGACCCACCTGTGATAATCCTCCGGAGAGAGGGTGTAGGTCTTTTCCAGAGAGCCCAACCTTCGGAAAATACCCCAAAGTTTCCTGCGTGGCGGGACACCTTGATCGATGCAGTGCGTATAGAGTATCCACAGGGCCCAGAAGGTAAGACCCAAACCCCTACCCCTTTCTAGAAGACACACTATCTTTCCCTCGTTAGCCCTAGGGAACAGGTAAGACGGCACCCTCTGAGTTAAGGGGTAACTCGACCTTGGAAGCTCTTCTTCCCTCGCGAACCTCTCCTTGTCCACGGATACGAACGCAAATCGCTCTCTAACCCTGCTTATCCATTCTCTTCTTACTTCTCTCGCTTCTCGCAACAATTTCTCCAGCCCACCCCCTTGTCCCAGAACTAGGGGTACAACAAGCTTCGCCCAGGCTTCCGGTGCTACGAAGATGACCGTGGCTACTTCAAGGCTCCGTCCAACACCTTGGCCTTCTACTTCCTTGGACTCCACCCACACAAATTCCCCACCGACCGTGGACCGGCCCTCCTCTACCCTTTCCCAATCAGGGACTTTCCCGCTACTAGGGATCAGCCTAAGGGCCTTACGGTCTTCTAATGGGGACTCTAAGAAGCACCCTCGCCTTTTATCATGGAACACCATTCATCTAGAAGATCCTCTGTGGCACCCCGAAGACCCTTTGGTAGATGTAGTCTCTTCCTCCCTCGCGGTCCCGGGTGGACTCTCTAAAGATCCCGGCATGGATCCTACAAGCCTTGATCCCGTACGGCACCGGGTTATCTACGCAATAGGTGTAATACCAATGGAGTGACCTAACAGAGTGCTGCCACCCCCTTTCCCGCACTATGGACCGCACTACCCTGTCGTACCGTTCCTCCTTTCTGCTCACCCTTCGAAAAACAAATGATGGGAATATGGCCCTGACGCACCCTGTGGCACGGGGATATTCTTCGTCTCGCGCGCAGGTCACCCTCACCTCGACGGGTGGGCTATGCCTAAGGGATTCAGCCTCAAAGATCTGCCTCAAAATCGGACCTGCCCGCGCCTCCCAATGATCCGTACGGTACCACCCTAGGACCAAATGAGTGACGTACTCGACCCAAGCTTCCTTACTCAAGTAGACTGTTCCTTCCGCATGGATCACTGTTCGCCTGGGTCTCTTCCCGTTCTGGGGCCTGTTCCGGGACCATCTGTCCCCCTCCCAAGTTCCCACAGCGAAACGAGCCCAGAGAAAAACCCTCTCTCTAGCTCTACCCCGCTCTCGCGACCGGCTAGATACCGCTCCGTGCGGTGATCTAAGGGGATGCTGAAGCACTCTCGGTCTTTGCTTAAATCAACTTTCTCTATCCGAACCCCTTCTTCTTCAGTACCCTCTATGATTCTAACCATCCCCTAGGACTATCTCCTCTATGATTTGAACTAGCGCTCTCCACTCGTCCGACCCGTCCAGGAAGGCGTCCGGAATAGTGGGGACTGCCCTACCCCCTCGCGGGTACGTCCTACACCCCAATGAGTAGAAATAGTTAATTTCGTAAGCCCCCAACAGCTGCCTCTCAAGTTGAGCGTGGCCGATCGCCTCCTCCCAGCTATCCAAATACCCCTCCGCTCTATTTACACCCTCCTCCACGTACAAGGCTATGTCGAAGTGCCCGCCAGTAGAAGGTATAGCACCAAACATCTACCCCTCCTGTATCACCTACACTAATCCCTGCGGGTTCAAACTCCAAAGGCCTCAAGCTCATTGATCCGCCGTTCTTGCCATACGCTTCACTATCCCCACTAGTACTTTCCATCCATCCGATTCATCAAGATAAGCATCCGGAATCACCGGCGCCGGGCGACCACCTCTTGGGTAGGTTCGAAGAGTAGAAATGCTTGAATCCGTAACCCCTCAATTCTCCTCGCGAACAGCGGGAGTGGCCTATCGCCTCTTCCCACCCCCGAAGGAAGTCCTCTCCTTGATCCTGACCCTCCTCTACATAGACACCTACATCAAAGTCCCCAGTCCATAGTCTAAAGGAGTAGCACCACACATCAACACTTCCGTGCGTACACACACTAATCCATTCGGGAGTGGCTTCTAGGCTCATACAGTGTAATCAAAGGAAACTTCCCTAAATTCTCACTTCCTATTGGCCACTTGAGAGACCACCTCTATCCCGCGAGGAAGAGAAGCCTGTGAGCTCAGAAGGATCAAATGGACCAGAGAAGGAACGCCGTCTCACTCGGCTACCTTCCTGTCCTCCCTCGCTGAGAGACTCCTCCCCACTCCCGGCCTAGAGACTAGCCGCGGACACAGGTTATCCCCGAGGTAGGGTGGCAGCCCCCTCCCCGAAGTCGGACCGAAGTCACACACCCGCGCCCTATGTCCCCCACTGAACCGACCTCTAGTCCTAATTAGCCTATCCGGTACCACGCCTCTACACGGCCCACCTCAGGCGTGGAATTACCCAGGTCCCAGGACAAGATCCACCTATGTATCGAAAATCGCTAGCCTATCTACTCCCTCCCCTTTCTCCTCATCGTGAACTCTTCACACTTCGTTCTCTTCTTCCTTTTACACCTCCTTCTGCCTCTTTTCTCTCTTGGAATCGCTGGAAAATCAGGAAAATCGAAAAAAGGGTGGGAAGAGCGGAGCTTTTAGGAAGAGGCTCTCAGGTGGGGTTGATAAGCATACGTACCTTGGGTCTTCAATACTCGTTATCGTAGTCCCAATAGTTTCCCGGTTCCGAGTCCGAGAAATCGGCAAGACACCGGTCCACCCAGGAGCCGGCCTCCGATCCCTCGCCCAAGGTCCCCCAAGTATCCCCCTCTCCTTGAATGTCCTCGCTATGAAGGTCAGATATCTCCCTCTCTCCCCCTCGCTCCGGTACCCGTAGCACCACTCTCCTTTCCCCCAAGCACCAAACCGGTCCTGATCGAGAGTCCCGCTCCCTCGTGGGAGTTGCAACCGTCGTCAGCCCCTGTGGATCGTGAATCAAAACCCCTAACCCCTCTCTAGACACAATTTCTCTTGCGGGACTTCGCCCTTGGGTAGGTGCCCTCCACAACCCGTGCGGATCAAGGACGCTTGGTGAACCCCTCGGATCCCAAATAGACAGCGCTACCTCCCCGCTCCCTCTCTTTCTCTCTCCCTCTCTCCCCCTTGAGCAGACCCCCTTATACTATTTCCCCGGACTGTTCTTCTCCCTCCCCTTTCGTTGTTCTTCACCCTCATTCAGACCCCTCAGGCAAACTGTGCACCCCCTTAGTTTTTTGAGTTTTTAGAAATAAACAAGCGCAAAAAACCAAGCACACTAAAAGGAACTGACCTGTTTTTACCCTTCGACGGCCGGAAGTGGGAGCCGAGATCGCAAGCGGGCCGGAGCAGACCTGCAAAAAAAAACAAGGAGACAAGCCCCAACACCCGAAAAACCCTTGCCCCCGACAAACCCCAACAACAAGCCCCTCCCCAACAAACCCCTTGCTGACGTCGCTTGAGAAAAAATTTGATCACCGTGAAGAAACTGCTGGAGACTATTTTGAAGACACGTGCTGAAGAACTCGACGCCGAAACTCAGAAGAACGCCGCAAACTCACTTCACCACTGCCTGTCACGCCGGTCCTCCCTCACCCCGTAGTTGCTGAGCCGGCCGCGGCCGCGGGAGAAATACTCATCCACGGCAACGGCGCCACTTTGTCGGACTGCCGCCCCCCTTTCTCTTGACTCGTGTCCGGTCCTCCGGTTCACTACTTCTGGGCTGCCCCGATTTTTCCCTACTACCTAGACCGATCCGTACTTCACTACGTGCTAGTGGAGGGAGTAGTCGAAGAAGTTAAGGTACCGGCCCCGCCGAGAGTCAGCGAGATAGACCGGGAGCAACTGCGGACTCGGAGCACCCAACAAGTATAGATGACCAGGTGCCGAGCGAGTTCTGGGGATGACCGAGGATACGAGTTCAGGGGAATGGGCTCCACGAGTAACCACAGACTGCTCAACGCCGTGAGCTTTGGGAGAAGAGGACTCGACTTCGACGAAAGAAAGAAAAGGGGGCAGGAAACATGCAAGAAGACCCCGCAACTTGCGGAAAAACAAAACTTGCGAGCTGCAAGAGGCGAGAGGGCAATCCAGTTCGAGTTCTGCGAAACAAGAGCGTGACTAGCGAGGCACGGGAGCGCGCGCGAGTGACTAGTGAGGTCCGAGAGGACAAGCTCCTCACCAGAAATATATAGTCGAACTTCGTATCCAGCAATCCCGTAACCAAAGCGACATGAGAGGGAGTAAGCGAGTTCGTGTCAGGCAACTTAGCGTTTTGTCTTGCTTGTCACCGGTGAACTTAGTGAGATAGGATAAAAGCAGGCTCGTACTCGGCGATCACGAGTTCGTGTCTAGCGAACTCGAGCGTAGTAACCAGTAGGGTGGGGCAGCACATGTTCGAGACAAGCTCGCGGTCAATGAGTTCGTGCCCTGCAAAATCGAGTTTCGTAGCCAGTAAGATGCGAGAGCGTTCGCGCATGACCACTTAAACGAGACAAACTCGTACTCAGCAATAACGAGTTCTTGACCGACGAACTTGAGTTTGGTAACCAGTGATAAGCGAGAGCACACGCTCGTGATCACTGAAATAAGAGAAAACCAGGCTTGCACTCAACAATAACGAGGCCTTGTCCAACGAACTCGAGTTTCGTAATTAGTAATAAGCGAGCGCAATAGCTCGTAACCACTGAAATAGGGGGAAAACAAGCTCGTACTCACCCATAACAAGTTCTTGAGTTTTGTAATCAGTAGTAAGCGAGATCATACGTACGTAACCACTGACATCAACGAGATATGAGGAAAACAAGCTCGTACTCAGCAATAAGAGGTTCTTGTACAACAAACTCCAGTTTCGTAACCAGCAATAAGCGAGCGCACTAGCTCGTGACCACTGAGAT